TGCTGAGCGTCATGGCGGTAGTGGCAACTTCCACTGGGCAATGAAAGTGGCCGTCATCCTCTCGGTACCTGACCAGCGACTTTCCATGCAGCGTGATTTGCGTGCTCTTTTGGTGCACCTTTGTGTTCAGATATGATAAGTTTTTTTTTTTTTTTTTTTTTTTTTTAAGAGGGGAAATCAGCCAATCAGGAAGATCGACGATCCAACGTACCTGAGCAACATGCTGATCTCTCGCAATACGACTGGAAAAGATCAAGTTGCATCGCGAGCATGAGGCTTCTCGTGCCCTTGGCATGCTTGAGTGGTGCAGTGTGCGTTGGAGTAGCTCGTGGCTCTTGTGAGAGAATGAAGCGGCGAAGAAAGTAAAATTTCATCACATCTGAGAACGGACAGTTGTTGACATGCAAATGGGAATCGGCATGTAGTTTTGGCTGACATGATGAAGGCAGGTAATAGACATCCAAAGTTGTTGAATGGCGTTAGAGTCGAGGAACAGCCACGTGATCGCGCTCATCACGCTCGCCGGCCAGTTGGGCATAGCAGAGATGTTGTGTCGTAGTCCAGTAAATCATAAATGTACATTTATGATTTACTGGACTACGACATGTTGGTCGGACGAGTGCGAGGCGCGCTCACAATGACTGTGCTCCATGTCCTTCTTCTTCTTCTTCTTTTTTTTTTTTTTTTTTTTTTTTTTTGCGCTGGCTCTTGGTTTCTGCTCCTCGGGCGAGCCGCAGTGTCGTGGCATCATCATCATCAGCATGAGCCGTTCAGGCAATCATTCGAGCACTCTGTCGACGCCCGTCGGTCTCTCAGAATCCTGAGTTTGATCACTGCTTCCAGCACACGGTTGCGGTGCGCCTTGATGCCTCAACAGTCGTCGAGGCATTGATTGTCAATGGCTGCCTTTGTGTTGATCCCTTCTCATCAAATTGCTTCTTGATTCAGCAGCACAAACGCAAGCCGGTCGGTTACCAGCACTGTGTGGCGATTTTCATGCATGGTAATCTCCCAGCGCGTCTGCGCAACGCAGATGCAAGCCTTGCCTCAAAGGCTTGCTGTGATGCAGGCCACAATCAGCCCATGCCTTCACTGATCCTGGCCTTGTCACAAGACGTTACACGACCACATGTTCGGTGCGCAGCCATCAAGCGCCCGAGCTTAACTGTGATCGAGCTGGATGCAGCCATAGAAGTTGCGTGCCTTCCTACCTGCATGCTGGCTTTGACATCCAGCGCCCCCAATGAAGGCTCAAAATGCCACTCCCTTGGTCTACAGGACCGTACTTATATCTCGATGGCAGCAACGACGACAATGTTCGACTTACTTCCTCGCCCTGAAGGATAATCGAGCATCATCGCCGGGACTGGCGATTTCCAGTGATACAGTAGCTTCTGGACATGCGTCTAAGCTTGCAGTCCAATACATGATGATGGTGCTTCTTGTGCTTCTTGTCTTTTTTTGTGCTCGCAGTTACTCCGCTTACCCTCCGGCGAGCCGCCCACATCACCAGCTCGCGCAGCGCTGCAGCCGCCAATATTGAGACACCATAGTCATCAGTCGATGTCATGGCGAATGAAGGCAGGGCTGTTTTTCGCTCTTTTTCGGTGGTTGTTGGACTGTTCTGCTTTAGACGTTCAGCAAAGCCCGCCCTGGTCATTGACTTTATTTTCTGTTTGCATAGCGATCGACAAAGCAACCACAACCTTCACAAATTTCAATTTGTAGGTGCAGCTTGAGCGGCGGACGTTAGAGCGGCCACGCAGTCACCAAGGGTTTGTAGGTCGTGGATATTGAACAATTGAGGATCCACGCGCCAGCCGACGCTACAGAGAACAGCAGCAGCGCACCGCCAGCGTCTGGTCTGCTCCGCATGAATCAAGCCTTGGACTGGCGGCACGTGGAATTCCGATGAGAACAAGACAATGCGAACGATGACATGGGAATCAGATTCGCACCATCGGAATTTGAAGTTTGGTAGGAGCAAAGCGTTTGGGTTGCGCTCAGTAGCTCTGCGACCACCTATAAAGTGAAACAGATTCATCGGTAAGCAAGCTTGCCTCTGCAATGAGTACCACAAATAAAAAAAGGCCCACCTCCAGTTTGATGGGATCCCTGCCTAGAAGCAGATCCAAGGGTCGTGCATCCGTCTGCCACAGCAGGTCATCAGGTATCAATCGCAGGTGAACAGCGCCAAAGGTACGGCATTATGGTAAAAGGCTTACAAGATCTCTCGCATCTGGGTCGGCACCGTGACGCAAGAGTTGCTGGACAACCTTTCGGCTGGCAGACGAGGTAGCGCAGGCTAGTTGGAGCGGCGTTTTGCCGCGCTATATAATATTATAATCAATATTCAGAAACATGAGGCAGGTGTTCTTTGTTTTTCTCTTTTTTTCCGTTTTTTTTTTTTTTTTTTTTTTTTTTTTGGGGGGGGGGGGGTGGTGGGGGGTTGTTTAACCTC